AATTAGGAGTGGTGAGGAGCTCAGAAGGCTCCTTTCCTAGGCAGAACCAGGAGGAGGTCTTGAAGCAATGGCTGGAGCTGGAGGTACCATGCACACTTCAGCAGCTATGAAGTACAGTCGGCTAGCACTGAGCACTGTTAACGCCAAATCTCAGAATTCATCCCTCCCCCATGCTTGCTCAAAGATGACAAATGCCTGTATAATTTAGGCTTAATAAGCCTGAAGCAGGCCTCCGGATGCAACCATTTCACTAAAAACTGAACACCTAAGACCAGTTAAAATTTTTAGTTACGATAAAGCCTCATATTACATTTATCTGTTTTCCTCTAAGTCTCTATTTCTGTGTCAAGAAAGAAAAGTCATAGAAAGTATGTATGAGTGTGTGGGGAATGTTACTTAAAGGTATATCTTTAAGTCAGCAAAATTTTAGAGGCAAAGAGAGATCAAACTCCAAAAGGGATCCAATTAATGACTTTATATCTAAAGTATACTCATAGGTAAGGTTGCAATTAATAGCAATGTTTGCTCTATTCATTCACAAAGTCAATAGTAGACACCAATATTTATATTTAGCTCTATTTAAGCAACTGTTGTGGGCAAAGGGCTGCATTTGGTGCTAAAACAGTTGTCTAAGAAAAAAAAATCACTTTTCTAGTTGTAGCTGTTTGTGAAAAATGTAAAACAGTGTTTCATTATAGGTTGTCAAATATTAAACCAATTATTACCAAGTACAGACTTTGTATAAGGCTCTTAAATAGAAAGGCAAATGAAGCTCAGTTCTGAAGTTACTAAGCATCTTGTGAAGAAGACAGTTATGAACTCAGCTAACTCTATACAAGGCACAATGCTAAGCATGAAGAGTAATGCCGAAGCAACATGAAGAAAGAAGCTAATCATCGATTCTAAGCCAATCTGTATCTGTTTGCATGCTGGAAAGATGTTTAAAAAGTAAAGAAAAGGCAGTTAAATATCTGCTATTATTAAATTTACTACTACAAAACCATTTGTAATTAACTCGAGTTCTCCAGGTCTTATAATAATGAAAGGACAATCGCATTTGAATTCTTCATTCTAACACTAATCAGGTTAATTTGTTTCTGGAAGGCTGAATGCAAAAGACAATAAATGCCCAGCTCCACATGTGTTTAAATATAGTCTGCCTTCCTTTCTTGTTTTTTTGTTTTTGTTTTTTTTTAGAAATGATAAGAAAAATGGAAGAACAAATTCGCTTTTTACAGAATGAAATATGTGTTTCATGAATAAGCTTCAACAAAGGTACCTTACTCAGGTAAAAGGGTACTGAGTCATAGGGTTCCCTGGCTAGAAAATGCAGACCTTGTTTGCCACCAATCAGAGAGCCCTTTCCTCTCATCCGTATTCCCTATCTCTGGGATGAATTTAGAAATGTTGGCACACAAAATTGTACATTATTCTTTGTAGCCCACACAATCTGAATGAAATCGGGCCCAATGGACATTTTTGCAAAGGCCAACCAGCACAAAGACATTCTCAGAAAGCCTAATGTATAGTAATTATTCTGTGAGGTCAACTTAACTCTTGTCTATCAAAATGCAAAATGTCTCGATGTGTACATTAAAAACATCTTAGTAGTTTTAATTCAGTAAGCGGTTATAGGGCCATTTCTTCATGTTGAGCAGAGGATGCTCAGAACAAGCAGGAGATAGGAAAGAGGTATGTTGTCTCCAGGAGCTAATAATCTAGTTATTTAAAACACACTTACTGAACTTCAAGCACTAAATTTTGAAAACATCAGAAGACTGAAAACAAAACAAAAACAAATCCCTACCTTTGTATAATAATTAATCTTGATCCCCCAAAGCAGTACTTAACCCTTGGAAGTTTGCTGTAAAAAGGGGGGGGGGGAGGTGTTCTTGCTCCTCTGTAGGGTCTGATTCAAGAATCTCTGTTACTAGGGTGGGGAAACACCTTTTAGGTTTTTACTTGTTTTTAAATATTATGTCCAAATAATTCATTCACTTAGAAGTGAATGTATGAGCAGAAGATCTTTTTTAGCTTTGTTTTAATAACCCATGATTACTCAAAATCTAATGAAATAATGTCAGTCTGACTCCTGTTTAAAAGGACAATATAGGAAAGTACTGTTTCTCACTATGGGTATTAAGCTTCTGGAAATGATTGGGGGAAAAAAACCCAGGGAACCACTTATAGGCATTTAACAAAACAGATGGAATCTCTTTTCTCTCTTGCTAAGGACAGTTTCTCAAACTGTTTATCAAATGGTACTTTTCATATCTATTCCCTTCTATTAATCACCTTCCCAACACACCAAAACAATTTGATGTTGAACCTTTAAGTCTTGTTCTTTTTGTGCTGCATGCATCAGTGAATCCTCCTGTTAGAAAGAGAAATCCATGCTACTCAATTATTTTCACTCAGTAAGTTTACAGTCAGAATTTTGAATTTTAAAAAAGTTCAAAATATACTGTAATTTGAAATTAACCAAGTCTTTTGGCTAAAGAACAGTGATCCCCAGAGCATTGTTCGTTCCAGAGAGACATTCTGCACTCTGTTGGTTTTTCTTTCTCATCATATCATATGCTAATAGCTATACGCAAGTAGTAAAAATCAAGAGCAGAATAAATAACATGCTTTAACCTAGGTAGTGCTTTACATAAAATTATAAACTGTCACATAAAGAATCATCCTGACACCAATAACATCATACAGTCAAGAAGTCTTTAGATTATCTGAGATTTAATGTGAATATCAATTTAAAATCTCTTGACAGAAGCTCAAGGTAACAAATACCCAAGTACTATACATTGCTAAGGATTTTCTCCCCTATAAAAAAAACATGGTCTTACTCCCAAATAATACAAGAACCCAATCTCTTTTCGGTGACAAATTAAAGGGGATTCAAATCTTGGAAGCAGGCAAAAAAAAAAAAAAAAAAAAAAATCCAGTACTTTAATACTACAAACTCATCCCACTCCTAATGAGACTCTATGATACCTCACAGCAGAGGACCCAGAGATAGTTCTAATTCCAAGTACATCTGAATTTCAACTGTGTTGATATTTTTTCTATCCCAGCTCCTTAACTGATTCTCAATATTCCCAGTATTATTATTAATTATTATTATTATACAGGGTAAATAAATTAGTGACAGCAAGTGTTCAATTTTAAAAAATCAATCAGTGCCAGAGACTAAGGAAGATGCTAAGACCCTGACTCAGAACAATCTACTTTATCATAAATAGCAAGGGTAAAAACAATCTTTTCCAAGCCTCACAATACTCTAGAATCCATTTTTTTTTCTCCTAAAATCATTTACATAAGGTCTCATCAGCTATGTGGATTAATAGGCTCTCCTGTGATACAGCAAAGATAATCTCAGATCCTTATCATGGCTAAGTTTAGTGGCTGCTATTGCTTTTTCTTTCTTCTAAGCTCTCTGCTGCTTCTAATACCTGATCTGCTCGGGGACAATCTAAAAGCAGCTGTTTCTCTAAGATCTGTCCATCTATATATTTCTCTGGCATGTAAGAATGTGGCAGGGGGTGCTAGAGAGGAGGAGTAAATACACTGATATGTCATTTAGGCTTATCGGTAAGTAGCACTCAGTAGGATAGAACTTTAACCTGTGAAGAGAATTCCTTCTGGCCATTTCTTTTCAAAAAGGAATTTTGTGTGTGTCACAAAAATAAAATCCGAAAATCCTAAGTAAATGAGGAAAGCATGCAAACCCCAAAATAAAAGGTAATTTCTCCATTGTATTGATCCAAGGTAGGAAAAACAAAACAAAACAAAACAAAACAGATTATTCGCCCAGACCCTGGGAGTACACAACTGTCACAATGAAAGCATTTCAGAGCAAAATGTGCTGCAATGTGCTACTATGATTAAAAGCCATGTAATCTGAAAGACCTCTGTAACAAAAAGAAAAATAGCTATTTACACACTTTTCTAAAAAAAAAAAGGGGGGGGCTGCAGTTTTGTGATAGTTACACAAAGGGAGGTGTGACTTTCACCTATACCTAGTATTAAAACCGTATTTTCATCCACAGGTATTTAACAACATTCGAAGAAATTGCACATGGTTTAACACTAAGAATAAACTACTATTTTATGATACTATTACATGTGTTTTACGCCTAACCCCGTCACAACACATACTGGGGGTCATCATTCAGCACACACTCCCTAAACAGGAAAGATCTTCACACAGTTTCCCCCTGTACTTTAGTTTTTTTTTTTTTTTTCCCAAATGTACAATTACCAGCCCCAAAAGAGAGGATAAGGAGCGGCAACGAAGTACACCATATGTTCCCACTGTAGGCTGAGTCCTAGTCTTTGTTCCAATATCCTAGAGCCGCTGCTAGGAAAGCTAAGTGTCATCCATCCATGAAAGCGGCTTTACGGTATTGCGGGCAAAGTTATACTTCTGATAGGTTTGGCCATCTCGATTATTCCTGCCTGCATTTGCTCCCTTCATACAAATCCCCTTCAATTTTGGGAACCTGCGGTAAACCACCCTGGAAAACAGGTCGGTCGCAGGACAACCCGATAAAGCAACGCACAGGGTAAATAAACACTGAAGAAGAAATGCAAAGTTATTTTCCTAGTGCAAGAGTTTTTAAGTAATTCCGTATCAATGACAAAATCTCTCTCTTTTTTTTTTTTTTTTGCCAGCTGCGCACCTACCCAGATGTCATCCACCTTATCCTCAATCAGCAGGGTTTCGCTCAATCTTAACATCTCCCGCAACAGTTTTAATGCTATAACTCACACCAAAGACCACTAGCCACGCCCTTTATACCCAGAATCAAGCCACCTTTTGCTTCCCGCCCCCCCCCCTTACAAAGTCCAAAATGCACATCCGATGTCATCTAAGAGGGTTCGGTTCGCACCGGGTCCCTAGCCCGAGTCGGAGACCCTAGCTGCGCCCTGAGGACCCCCCTGGAAGTCGCCCTCTCCCGGGCGCTGTGCGGCGGCGCGGAGGGGGCGCCCACGCTTACCTCCCGCACACCTGCAACCCCCGGCGGGATGCTGGAGCCGATGCTCGGGGGACCGCGCTCCGCTCCGCTCGAGCTCCCGCTCTCGGCTCTCCCGGGAAACTAGAGTCCAGCCTGCGCCTCGGGCTGCTACAGGGACCCAAGCTCCGCCTCCCCCTCCTCCGGTTGGCGAACTCGGCGGCTGTCGCTCCTCCCCCTGCTGCTCCTGCGGCCGCCCCGGCCCGCGGCGGCGGCGGGAAGCGGCTGCGCCCGAACCTTCCCGCTCCCTGCGCTTCTGCAGCTGTTCGGCCGCTTCCCTTCCCCGGGGACCCCCCCCCCGGGCTCACACCTGCAGCTGCTTCCTGCCCCGCCCCGCCCCGCCCCGGGCGCCTCCTGGAGAAGCCCAGGCTCACCCGATCCCTTCCCGACGCCGCCTGGCGTGCCCGGGGCTCGTCCGCTATCGGGGAAGCCGCTGCTCCGGCCTGGACGCATCCCCTCCCGCCCTCCCTCCCTCCACCCCGGCGATGCCCCGCTCGGTGCAGCGTCCGCGGCTCAGCCGCCCCACGTTACCCGCCTCAGGACCTCCCCCCCCCCCCTGCACCCCCTTCCTTCCTGGGCCCTGCCTGCCCGCCCCCACAATGGGTGAGTCGCCCGCAGGGCCGACCCAGCACCCTGATTGGTGCAGGTGAGAGCTGACCCCGCCCTTCCTCCTCCTCCCCGACACCCTCTCTCTCCGTCCCACCTCCTCCCGCAAAGGCAGGGAACTCTCCTGCTATTGGCTAGAGCTGTCCCCACCCATCGCCTTGGGCTCTACCGCACGGCCTGCCGGGAATCGTAGTCCGGCCCGTGTCGGAATGGCCGCCGACGGCGGCTGGCGGGACTACAAGTCCCGAAAGGCCCCTGCGCGACTCCGGCCGGGCAGGATTCCGGACAACGCCTGGTTCCTCTCGGGTCCTTCCGGCGTCGCCGGAGTGAATTGATCCGGGAGTTGAAGAGGGCTCCGAAGGTGGGAAGTGAAGTCAGTGCCTCAGTTGCCGGTAAGGCGTGGCCGCCCCGTCCCGGGGTGCGAAGCCCCGAGCGGCGCGGAAGAGGGCGGGGGCCGCGCGGGGGCCGCGGGGGGCCGTCGGCTGGGCTGTGGCGGGCGGCGCGGACGCGGCTGGGAGCGGGGCCCTCTGCGCGTCAGCGAGGTTCCCCGGCGCGAGCGGCGGAAAGCGGGTTCGTAGACGCCGCCTGCCCGGTTCGGGCCCGGACGCCTCCAGGAAGTCTGCTCCAGGTGGGGGCGGGAGGGGAAGGGCGAGCCCGGCCTCGGGTGCCCGGGGGGAGGGAGCGGGCGGATGTGCCTGGGGTGGGGTCCTCCGAAGGTGTGGCCTGGGGCGCGGAGAGGTGGCTGCTGCGCCTGGCCCTGCGCTTGCAGGTCGGCCGGGGGCGGCGGGGGAAGGGAGGGGCGCTGGGGAGTCGGCTCTCGGGGTGACCCCGGCTGTGCCCTCTGGGGAGGAAGAGTGCGCCGTTGGCTGGCGGGGCTCTGCGGGTTCAGGTCCAGTTCCCTGACGTGGCCCCTCTCAGGAGGCAGGTCTTGCCTCTGACCCCCGGGGGGGCAGTTCCCAAGGTACCTTTGCACCCCTTGTGCTCTCAGAGACTCTGTTCTCAGGCGCCGACCAGAAGCCGAGGGGACAGGCGACATGCCCAAGGTCACACACCTGGGGACAGGTCTGAGTCCAAGCCGCTCATAATCCAGTTTCTTTCTTTCTTTCTTTCTTTCTTTCTTTCTTTCTTTCTTTCTTTCTTTCTTTCTTTCTTTCTTTCTTTCTTTCTTTTTTTAAGATTTTTATTTATTTATGCATGAGAGACACAGAGAGAGGGAGAGAGGCAGAGACACAGGCAGAGGGAGAAGCAGGCCCCACGCAGGGAGCCCGACGCGGGACTCGAACCCGGGTCTCCAGGATCCCACCCCGGGCTCAAGGCCGCGCCAAACCGCTGAGCCGCCCGGGCTGCCCTATATAATCCAGTTTCTGACTCAGAGGAAAGAGCAGGGAGGTTGGGTGTTTTTTTTTTTTGTTGTTGTTTTGTTTTTTTGAAGTGAGTAGGGGGAGATTGCAGAGTAACGCATTTTATGGTTTTCTTAGGAGCCCTTTGTGAGATGAAGAGTTTGTGTGTGTGTGTGTGTGTGTGTGTGTGTGTGTGTTTTTGAGTTGGAGAAATTCCTCCATGAAGGAAGGACACACACTTTTTTTTTTTTTTTTTTTTTAAAATAAGACTGAGTTTCAGCTGACTTACGGATGTATTAAGCGATGGACTACATTTCAAACGGTAGAGAATGACCTAGGAGAATGTCAAAATACATCCTATCCTTATATTTAAGAGATACACCTATTTCCCTCCCTACCTTAGGGCTGACTGTTGCCACTCTCACTTGAGTAGAGCCAGCAGCGGTAGCGTGGGAATTCTTTCACAAGACTTGTTTTTTATTTATTTATTTATTTATTTTTTTTACGCTGTGTTCAAGTCACAAAGCATCAGGAGAGGTGACTGTGCTCCTTTACTAGAAAAGAGGGTACGTTGCATTTCTTGGAAGTAGCATCACATTTTTTGTTGTTGTTGTTGACTCCTGTTTCCTTGTCCCCCTCATTTTCTGGACTCCAGTGTGTTGGTGAGTTTTTCTTAGCGTTGTCCATGACTTTTAATTCATCCTATTTAAAGAATGGGAAAAATTGGACATTTACATTTTATTTTTAAAAATTTTTTTTTTAAGATTTTATTTATTTATTCATGAGAGACAGAGGAGAGAGAGGGGCAGAGACACAGGCAGAGGGAGAAGCAGGCTCCATGTATGGAGTCGGACGTGGGACTCGATCCCCGGTCCCCAGCATCGCGCCCTGGGCTGAAGGCCGGCACTAAACCGCTGAGCCACCTGGGCTGCCTCACATTTATATTTTCTATTGAGCAGAGAGCAGTATGCTTGTAATACAGTCTTCTCCTTTATAATTGTTAGTGTGACCATTCATAGCTTATGAATATTATCTTTTTTTTTTTTTTTTTTTTTTAAATATTTTTTTTTAATTTTTATTTATTTATGATAGGCACACAGTGAGAGAGAGAGAGGCGGAGACACAGGCAGAGGGAGAAGCAGGCTCCATGCACCGGGAGCCCGATGTGGGATTCGATCCTGGGTCTCCAGGATCGCGCCCTAGGCCAAAGGCAGGCGCTAAACCGCTGCGCCACCCAGGGATCCCATGAATATTATCTTTAATAGAATCTTAGGTGTGTGTTTTTTGACATGAGGATTTCCTTTGTGTTGTTTACATACAGTAATTCAGTATCTACCGATAGCTAGTAGTTAATCATGGTTTACTGTCATGTAAGTTGACCACTGAAATATGCTGCTTTTTTAACGTACTCTGCAAACTTAGGTTCTACAGTGTATGACTTTTGAATGCAAAAACACTTTGTAGGATCGTAATGTTGCATATTGTTCCCCTTTGACTGAAGTTAAGATGGTCTGGAAATTAGTATGACCTTAAAAGTAGAATATGATCCTATAGAAAGAAGTAGGAAGAATAAGAGTAACGTAGCACCATGAGTAATGCAGTACACAAGGAAGGAAGACCAACTAACCAAATGAACCAGTGGGGATAACTGGTTCCATGCTATGTTATAGACGGAAATGGTAGTTTACATGGACTTCAAACTGAACATGAGTGAGTGATGGTAAAGCAAAAATGTTAACATGTTTTCTAGACAGCACAGGGGGTGTTTCCTTTTTGTTGAGGGAAGTGTGAAATGAGTTCTCTAACTTTTGGCATGCAGCTATGAGGTTGTGGAATGAGCTTTTGAACTAAAAGGAAAATATGGAAGTAAGTAAAATTAATTTATTTTTTTAAAGAAGATTTTATTTATTTATTCATGAGAGACACAGAGAGAGAGAAAGAGAGAGGCAGACACACAAGCACAGGGAGAAGCAGGCTCCATGCAGGGAGCCCGATGTGGGACTCGATCCCAGGTCTCCAGGATCACACCCTGAGCCATAGGCAGGTGCTAAACCGCTGAGCCATCCAGGGATCCTCCAGTAAAATTAATTTAATGCTAGTTTTTTTGTTCTGGGTTCAGTTCTATCATTACTCTTCATCTCTGAGGTCCATCCTAGTTTGGATAATTCATCTATATTTAATGATGGAGTAAGGTTTTTATTGTATTTATCATCTTTCAGTCACATGCTGGTACCCTGTGGTCACATTGAAGAATTTAGGGTTCCCAGAGTTATGTGTATAATTGTATTTTTATAGTAGTTTGTAGTTCATCAGTATCCACATTTGTTCTCAGTTTTGGTTTTGCAGGAGCCTTGTGTCAGCCTTTGGATCTCTTACAGGCCTTAGGATGTTTCCGATGTGCATCTGTCTTTAAGGGTAGAAGTTCATGAGAACAGGACTCTATTACTGCAATCCCAGTAGCTAAAATAATTGAGTACCTGTTTACGGTGTATGAAGTTCAGATTGGTTAAACGTAAGGTCACGTAACTAGTGACTGGTGGGATTAAGGCATAATCCAGGTCTTGTGACTGTAGATCTTACTATTATAGAATAAAGACCCAGTTCCTAAAATTACTTATTTCACACGAGAAAAGGACTTAAAATGACTTAAATATTCAAATTCTCTTACCTTACTCTTACTCTTTTTAATGCTCGCAGTTTATCCTTTGCCTCCTTTTCAGCTTTCCATCCTTACCCCCAGCCTTTCTTATTTACTGCACCTTTCAGTTACTACATAGCAAGTTCCTTCCTGATTTGGGAACCTTTCTTTGTGTTCCATCTCCCTGCGGACTGCACCCTCTCCCCTTTCCAAATCTGACCAACTCCTAGTTCATTTGCAGATCTCATTTAAATGTCATTCCTCAGGGGAACTTTTCCTGACCTTCTTTGATCCCTCCTTCCTGAAACTAGAACTTACTATAGTAAGTTCCCAGTATATCTTCACCATGCTTTGTAACTTCTTTGTAGCATCATCACAACAGGAACTTAATTGTTTTTTCACTTATTTGATAAATGTCTCTCCCTCACTAGACTATAAGCTCCCTAGGTGAGGCCCTCTAGTTTGTCATGTGCCTTACCTCACTAACGCAGTATCTGGCCTGGAGTTAGTTTTCAGTAAATACTTGCTGAATAAGTGAGTAAATGATTGAATGAATGAGTGCATTCATGCACAGGCCTCTAGCACTCTGTTAGGGACAGGAATACAGAAACAAGTAAAACAGACTTGCTTTACACCCTTAGATGAAAG